AAAGAGTGTCTGTTTTGATATATATCATCGAGACTGATCTACTAATATGACCGCGGGTTTTTTCAGGTACATCGGCTGCGAAGATGGTGGACAGCTAACCGAGGCCGTGAGGCGACTTCCGTTCAGCGTCATACTGTTCGACCAGGTGGAAAAGGCTCATGTTGCCGTGCTCAACGCTCTGCTTCAGGTTCTTGACGACGGGAGATTAACCGATGGTCAAGGCAGGAAAGTCGATTTTGGAAACACGGTAGTCATCTTGACATCGAACCTAGGCTCTGAGCCTCTTCTCTCGGGGCTAACGGGGAAGGTGCCGATGCAAGTTGCTCGAGATCGAGTGATGGAGGAAGCGAGGAAGCACTTCAAGCCGAAACTCCTGGACGGTTTAGATGAGATCGTCGTGTTCGACCCTCTCTCGCATGAGCAGTTGCGAAGAGTCACCCGTCTTCGGATGAAAGAAATCGCAGTCCGACTCGTCGAGAAAGGTGTCGAGCTGGCAGTCACGAATGCTGCATTGGACTACGTTTTGGCCGAGAGTTACGACCCGGTGTACGGAGCGAGGTCCATCATGAGGTGGGTGGAGAAGAGGGTCGTGACCGAGCTGTCGAGGATGCTGGTCCGTGGAGAGATGGACGAGAAGTCAACAGTGTACATAGACGTGGGCGAGGGAGGGAGAGAGCTCGTGTATCTGGTCGAGAAGGGCGGATGGCTCATTGACACGGCGGCGACCAGACATGAACCGGACGTGCTGGTTCAGATCCGGAAACGGGCGAGGATTGACGCGGTTCAGACCGTGAAAAATGATTGATGATGATGGCTGAAGCTTTTTGTAGTGTGTGAGGCTCTTTCGTCTTAATTTAGCTTTGTGCTTGCGTGAGAAGAAGAAACGCTCTTGGTTTTGTGGTTTGGTTCCTTGTGAATTTGTTCACTTTACCTCTAACATATTTATCTATTTTAAACTAGCATATAATGTTTATTTTTTTTTTATAATAATTCAAAATATAACTAATTCTAAAATAAAAAGTTTCAGCAAAACTTGGACATTTTAAGAAAATATTTCAACTATAATCTTTTGAATATATTATTTTGAAAACCAAAATGTTTTATAATTGTTTTATGTACTGCGAATGGGCTCGAACCTTTAACCTGCCGATTTTCCAATCACGTCCTTCACTTCTCTGAGTCGATTTACCAGATACACGCAACCAAGAACGCACACGAACTATCCAACAGTTTGTGGGCGAGTGGTCAGCAGATGGATGCAAAGCACTCAGAGGTTGACGGTTCGATTCCTGGTTGGGGAGGGGTTTTCACATGGGCTGCCCCGATCCGCTGAAAGATATAGTTGGGCCAAAGGCCCGGTGAACTTCCGGATTATAAAAAAAAATGCACACGAACTGAAAAGTAAAGGAATACACGGATTAACGAGTTCAGGTTCATCGTTGTGATCAACCCTACGTCTCGAAAGAAGAGAGAGATTTCTTATTGATTTTAAGGTTTTTTCTAGTTATAGCTCCAAGGAAGAAGAGGACGACGCAACAAACTTTCCCGCCTTCAAAACCTCTGGTTGATCCGGAGCCTTCAGCACGAGATTACTAAGGCACCTCACGCTAGGGGTGGACAAAAATACCCGGATTTTGAGTACCCGACCCGACCCGAAGGTCGGGTACTCAAAAATTCGGGTATCCGAGCGAATGAGACATGAGATCGGGTATTGGTATTAGAATACCCGAATTTTTGGGTTCGGGTTCGGGTAATGGTTATTATCTCACGGGTACCCTCGGATACCCGGATAATAAAAAAATATGTTTTAAAATTTAGATTTTTTATTAGATTTTATGTTATTTTATTTAATATTAATGATTATATAGATATTATTGGGATATATCTTTGATGTATTTTTTTAAAATAAAGTTATTTTAGATATAAATACAATTTAAATTTATTTTGAATGATTTTGTGTATGTATATATAAATATGTTTAAAAATAATAATTGAAAAAATTACAAATATTCGGGTTCGGGTATCCTCGGGTATCCGGAAATTATCTCACGGGTTTTCGAATTCGGGTACTCGATTTTACGGGTATGAGATCGGGTAATAAAACATGTAATCCGAGATGTTCGGGTTCGGGTTCAGGTACCCTCAAATTTCCGGATACCCGACCCGTGCCCACCCCTACCTCACGCGACAGTTTATTTTACTAAAATCTCCCTGAAAAATGATTTTTATTTCCGAAATTTATAGAGAAGAATCTCTCTCTCAGCAAGTGCAAGGAAAATAAATAAATATCGTTAACAAAAAATAAATAAATAAATACGATAGAAGCCCATTAACAATACTCGGCCCATAGGCCCATAGAAATCCGAAAACTAACGAGAGAACAATCACTCGACCTATAAAGGGGAATTGATGAATTAGGGTTTTTTCTGTTCTCCGTCTCCTCAGGTGAAGCCATTTTCCAAGCCGGCCGACTCAACAATGGTGAAGGGACGCCAAGGAGAGCGTGTCAGGTACCGTCCGACCCACTCTGTTTCTCCTTCTTCTTCGATAAATCTTTTCGAAAACTTCAGATTTCTCGTGAGATTCACTGTTATACTTGGTGATTAGATTCGCTGATTTTCAAGAGTTAGGAATATATTTTATTGTTTGATTTTGACGTACCCTTTTGGTTAGTTAGTCGTGTATGGAGTAAAGTTTTGTGTTTTTTAATTAGTTTCTGTTCTGTTTAGTTATGATGATTGATTAGGGATCCTTATATTTTGTCTGATTTTGATGTACCCTTTTGTTTTCTTAGTTCGTGTAAGAAGTAAAGTTTAGTTCTATTTGTTCAAGTTTCTAACTTTATTTTTCTTCTGTTGCAGACTCTATGTGAGAGGAACCATCCTTGGATACAAGCGGTGAGCTCTTGTTTTGTTTTCTTGATTTGCATTTTAGCTGTTTGACACTGTTTTGTAATTAGGGTTGCGGTATAAGTTCTTGCATTGTGTTGAATTTGAAGCCATATTGAATTAATTTTTGTTCTTTTCCATGCCAATTGTGAGTACATAACTTTGTTAAACTACGTTATCCTGGTTCTGGAAAGATGGTTACATTCGTTAATTTTGTATCCCATCGAGTTTTAATCCTTTATCCGGCATACAGTTGTACGGTTTTCTCTCTATCTGTCCTTGATTGCTAATGTCATCGTTATCCAGTTCAAAATCGAACCAGTATCCAAACACATCCCTTGTCCAGATCGAGGGAGTCAACACCCAAGAGGAGGTGTCATGGTACCGGGGGAAGAAGATGGCTTACATCTACAAGGCGAAGACAAAGAAGAACGGTAGCCACTACCGATGCATCTGGGGCAAAGTCACCCGCCCTCATGGTAACAGCGGTGTGGTCCGTACCAAGTTCAAGTCGAACCTGCCCCCTAAGTCAATGGTATTCTATATCATACGTTAAACATAATCTTATTTCGATAAATCATGTCTTCAGATTGAGTTTGTAACCGAGGTTTCTTTATTCATTTGCAGGGAGCTCGTGTCAGAGTCTTTATGTACCCGAGCAACATATGAAACACATTCTAGTTCTTGTTTTGTTGGAAGAGTTCTCATTACTAAGACATTTAGATTGGGGACCTTAAGTTTTTTTCTTGTATTGGATTTGAAGATTTGGTCTGACTTCTTCATTTGAATGAATGTTTTGGTGTTCATCTAAAGCATCATTTGTTTTGTCTCTCATTTTCATGTGCAAATACAAGAATGCAGTGTTGGCTCTATTGAGTATGGCATCAAGAAATGATCTTTTTGGAATCTCTTCATTATTTTAACAAACTGTAGCATCAGTTTATGCGTTTACACAAAATTTTGTATTCGTCCCTTTAATTTTATAGGTTTTTGGTATACATGAAGCTGTAATACATAACGATTATAGTTACAGATTGCGAGCTTCTACAAGAACTATCCACAAGGATGCGTCTTGGACGCACTTATTCATTCAAAGTACAAACATCAACATGTCACAAAAGAAAACAACAATGGGGGATTTCAAAGCTTATGTAGCATTCCCGATTCATTACAGAGAAACCAAAAGACCTCCAAAACAAAAGTTTTCTCCAAGCGATGATGAAGCATTACAAGATGAGTTTCGGACAAAACGTGAACTGTGTGTGTATGTGTTCGTTGCTCTCTAAGCTCTCTTGACAAAATCGGTATCGCCTTCATTGTCCCCATCGAAAGAATCCAGGCCGCTGCTGTCCGTTGATTTCCCGTCTTCTGGGTCGTCAAATTCGTTCTCGCTGCCAAACCCGCCTCCAAGCCTGTGATCATTACCGTCATTTCCAAACTTGTCACCGAACCCACCATCAGTCTCGGCCCTCGGGGGAAGTGGAAAGCCGTCGCTTCCACCAACACCACCCGCGACTCCATAGCCACCTCCATAACCACTGGCAGGACCTCCTCCATAACCAGCGGCAGGACCTCCATATCCTCCGGCAGGACCTCCATAACCACTGGCCGGAGTTCCAAAAGCATTGGCATTACGGAAACCACCACCACCAGGGCCACCGAAACCGCTTCCTCTATCAGTTGCGTAATTCACCCTTATTCTTCTTCCGTGAAGGTCCTATACAAGTAGGAACCTCGATAAATGTCTGGCTTGATAAAGCAAAGTAAGCAATGAAGTATGAACCATCTTAAGGGTTTCCAAGGCATCTAAACCAACCAATCATAAAACGAGGAAGATATTGATCCAATACTCAGACTCTCCATTATGCGCACAACACAACACTTAAGGCCAAATACAAGAAATGCAACAAGAAGAAAAACTTGTGCAGGAAAAGCTGGAAACATGTATCATTTAGGTAAAATCTGTTGCCAGAAGTAAAGCATTTAGAACAAAAGAGAGATTATGGGACTAAACAACAACAACAACAACAACAACAACAACAACAACAACAACAACAACATCGCCTTAATCCCAAGTTTATTATGGGACTAAAAAGAAAAAAAAAAGAAACATCGAAATTAGCCACACTGCATATTAGTATCAACATAAGCTGGAAAATTGATATTACCTGTCCATCCATTTCCTGAATTGCGCCAGAAGCCTCATCACTCGAAGTGAATGTTACAAAACCAAAGCCCCTTGATTTTCCAGTCTCACGGTCAACAATAACCCTTGCTGCAGTGAGTAATAGATTAAAAGAAGCCACGAAAATGAGGACCTAACACTTCACAGAGATACAGCTTAAACCATCAAATGCGCAGTCAAGCTTGTTTTATGATAATTTGTCAAGCCCCGAGAAAGTTGTGCAAGTTTCACAAAATTTCATTATGCAAAGAAACAAGTTAACTGTTCTGTAATCACTTGGTGGGAGATCGCTACCTTCAACAACTTCCCCGTATTTACTGAAAGCTTGTTTTAAGCCAAACTCATCGGTGCTATAAGAGATACCTGAAGAAGAACAATGGGGCGTTCATAAAAACAATCAAGAGGAGAAAAATGAAAACCAAAAAACAGAAACAAAGGTTGCACCCACCTCCGACAAAGACTTTTGAAGATGACATGCTTCGCATGCTCTGTAACATCGATGAGTTAGAGACCATGAGCCGTTTTCCGGTCTGCCCGAATACATTGCCAACTTTACTAAAGAACGCCATATGTATTTGCTTATCCGAATCCTGAAACCAAGAGAAAGAACTATCACTCATTCGTGAGGAAATGAAACCAAAGTAACTTCAGAAATATTCTTGCATAAACCTAGGGCCCATCAATTCAATGAGAAAAAAGGCATTTTTTCATACGTTTAACCATGTGGGAGAGAAAAAGCGTGGAAATTTCGCGATCAGGTCTAGTGATCGCCACACTGCGAACTCAAAAACCAACAACGATTAAGATCTTCCCTTCGTGGACACAACATTATACAACCTCGAACCAGTTTCAGAAATGTTTTTCCCGACGAGAATCGATAAGATCGAACTAAAGTTCAGAGTCAACTCAGTAATCCATAACTTCTGGCTAACCCAGATAATCAGATATCCACTCACACAGAGCAGAGAACAGAGCCATAAAGAAACACAAGATTGCTACAAATTGATCCCTAGAACTACTTCAGAAATATGAAGCGTGAACAAGAATCCCAGGAGAACGAGCAACGAGAACGAGAAACATCACGCGCGAACAGAGATACAAACTCCAGATTTCAGAATATCATATCGAAACATGAAAAAAGATAAGCAAAAATGAACATTGGAAGGAGGAGGAGGGGGAGGATTTTACCGACCTGTTCTCTAGGGTTTATGGGGAAGGCCTGCTCTCTAGAAGCGAAAGAACCATAGTAATGAAGATGGTATAAGTAAGAGTGAGGCGTTTCTCCGTAATACGATCTTGTCCATTGATTTCATTTTGGAAAGATCTTGGCCGTTGACAGAGAATTGCTCGTTGAGATGAGACACGTCATAGATTTTTTTATTTTTTTTATTTCTTAGGAGTAATCTATGTTAAATTTCCAAAATTTTATAAATTTGTAATGCATGATATATAAAAAAATAAATCTAGTAGAATTGATATAATTTACTATAATATACGATTGATTTTTAATAGAGGACATAAAATTGTAATAACAACAAATATTGTCACCAAGATTTGTATTATTGTTGTAATATATATATATATATATATGTTATTTAGTCACTCTATTCAAACATCAAATTCAACATAATGATAAACAATATTTAATTTACACCAAAAAATCTTATAGTTTATAGAGATTATTTTTTATCAATTTTTTTCTCAAGTTAAAATACACTCAGTAATCAAAATAAATAATGCCTAATGAAAAACTTTTATTTAAAATTCATTTATATATATATATATATATATATATATATATATAAAATCCCTTATTATTTGTCTGATGTCCACATACTCGATGCAGGTACTTAAGTTTTGTATATGTCTTTTATCGGAGAAAAGCTAGAGATACTTATCCTGATTTTACCGTATTCTGTTATTAGATACACTGGTATGGAAGGAGCTGAATACTTCAGGCCAGTTGTTGACGCCTCGAGCTGGTCATGCCACTGTTGCACTTGGCAGGAACCTATTTGTGTTTGGAGGGTTCACTGATGCACAAAATCTTTACGATGATCTATATGTTCTAGATGTTGGTAAGTACTCAGCGATGTGAGTTAATACCAACGTCATATATTGAAGAAATATCGGTCTTGAATCTTGATTCTGATCTTCATATGACCCCTTTTACGAATAATATATATATATATATATGTTATTTAGTCACTCTATTCAAACATCAAATTCAACATAATGATAAACAATATTTAATTTACACCAAAAAATCTTATAGTTTATAGAGATTATTTTTTATCAATTTTTTTCTCAAGTTAAAATACACTCAGTAATCAAAATAAATAATGCCTAATGAAAAACTTTTATTTAAAATTCATTTATATATATATATATATATATATATATATAAAGATAAAATCCCTTTGTAACGTATTTTCCAGAGGCCACACCCGTTTTCGTTAATAATAATTTTTTGTTTCAAAATTACCAACGAGGATATGACACGTCATTTAGAGTGCCACGTCATTACCCATTGGATTTTAATAGGAAAACTGAAGCTCGCTTTTCTCACACTAATCAGCAAAATTTTTCCTTTTCCCCCATATATCATTTTTAATTTTTCCTCCTGTTTTTGGTTAATTTCTTTGGTTTTTGTTGCCGATCGCCTTCGTTGAAAAACCTAAGGAAGAAGAAGCTCTTTGTCCTCTGTATCGCCAAACAACAATATTATGGTTTTCTTTTTCAATTTCGTTTTTTAATCTTCTTGCCAAACCCTTGTATTTTCCCGCACTTTCCCACCCATAAGGAGGAAATTTTCCCAGGAAAATGAGGTGGGAAAGGGTCCGACAGCAATACCCACAAGTGGGTCTCGGCGAGTCCTCTGCCGGGCCCGGAAAAAGATGGGGGCACACTTGCAACGCCATTAAAGGGGGCAGCCTTCTCTATGTCTTCGGTGGTTATGGCAGAGACAACTGCCAAACCAATCTAGTGCATGTCTTCGACACTGGTGAGTTTCTGGGTTTTTCTTTTCCAGGGAGAGATTCATCTCTGTGGGAAAGTGTCGGGTTCTTTAGTGTGACGTCGATTCTTGTGGTGGGTATTGCACAAAGCCTCAATCTTTTTTGTTTCCACGTCTGATCTGTGTGATTATTTTGGTCAATCTCTCTAGGTTTTTCTTTGATTGTTCATTGTTTTCTCCTTTGCATGTGTTGGTAGTTTCTAGACATCAATGCTTCAGGGAAGAACTTGATGTGATGAGTTTTGGTTCGAGAAAAACCACATTTTTCGTGATTTTGATTGTTTTCTCTCTTAGGCAATACTGTGCAATCCCCTGTTTGTGTCCATGGTTATGCCATAATTGGGTTGTTTCATTTGATTTTTTGATAGAATTTGAAACTTTATTTTAGATTTTTTCGGTCCATGGTTTACTTTCCCCATTGTCTGCTTTCGAATTCTTGATGTTAATCACTTGCATCATGGTGATTTTGTGCAGAAAAGCAGATATGGACTCAGCCTTCGATCAAAGGCACACCGCCTGCTCCGAGGGATAGCCACAGCTGCACAACTGTGGGCGACAATCTCTTCGTGTTTGGCGGTACTGATGGGAGGAACCCTCTGAAAGATTTGCACATACTTGATACTTGTATGCTCTTCCATCGTTACTTTTCGTTTTCGATTCATATTTTTTGACAGAACTTGATTAGATCGAGAAAATGTCCCTCCCATTGTTCATCATTGTGCTCTTGCAAACAACGATCTGTCCATTGTTCCTGCTACGAGTAGATTATTGTGTTTAAAGTCATCATTGTATCATTTTTTCATTGTTTCTTTGTTCTTGTAGCTTCACATACTTGGATATGTCCAAGTGTTAGAGGTGAGGGGCCTGAGGCAAGAGAGGGTCATGGTGCAACACTGGTTGGCAAAAGACTTTTCGTATTTGGTGGATGTGGCAAATCTTCTGATACTGGTGATGAACTGTATTACAATGATCTTTACATATTGAACACAGGTACTGCTACTCAATACAAGGCTTCCTTGAATCGGTTTTCTGTATGTCAGCATTGGCCATTGATGTGAAATCAGAGGGCGGTCCAAGAATGAACATTTTTACGTTTGTTCTTTGCTTATTAAGCATTGACCAAGGCAAATATAGACTTGTATCCTCTGTAAACATAAAATAAAATAAAAACAAGCACATGCCTTGTTCTTTGAGTTTATGAACATTTTGTCGGGTTCCCTTTTTTCCCTGATGGATGTAATTTAATTGGTGATGATCTCATGTAGAGACTTTTGTGTGGAAACGTGCTGTAACAACGGGGAATCCACCGTCTGCACGTGATAGCCACACCTGCTCATCCTGGATAAACAAAATCATTGTTATCGGTGGTGAAGATGGGCATGATTATTATTTGTCTGATGTCCACATACTCGATGCAGGTACTTAAGTTTTGTATATGTCTTTTATCGGAGAAAAGCTAGAGATACTTATCCTGATTTTACCGTATTCTGTTATTAGATACACTGGTATGGAAGGAGCTGAATACTTCAGGCCAGTTGTTGACGCCTCGAGCTGGTCATGCCACTGTTGCACTTGGCAGGAACCTATTTGTGTTTGGAGGGTTCACTGATGCACAAAATCTTTACGATGATCTATATGTTCTAGATGTTGGTAAGTACTCAGCGATGTGAGTTAATACCAACGTCATATATTGAAGAAATATCGGTCTTGAATCTTGATTCTGATCTTCATATGACCCCTTTTACGAATAGAAATGGCTGAGGTGATGGTGTTTTGGATGAACCAGTAAATCAGTTATCTTTGAGAGACTGAAAAAAGAAATTTCCCCATGTTTTTTTGTTTCTCTGCCTATTACTTTTGAAGAATTTTAGCAATTGAGTCATGTGTTTTATTACAACTATGTAAATGGACATTTGTTTCACTCGATACGGTGTATCGTTATGTCGTGTTAGTGTCGTTTTTATATTGTAACATCAAAATCGGGTGCATCGTTACAATATTCTTTTTCATATCTGCAGAAGCATGTGTATGGTCTAGGGTTCTTACAATGAGCGAAGGGCCTTCAGCGAGGTTCTCTGCTTCTGGGGACTGTCTTGATCCTCACAAGTCTGGTATGCTTGTCTTCGTAGGTGGCTGCAATAAGAACCTCGAGGCATTGGACGACATGTACTACTTATGCACAGGTTTTGCCATGAACACTCGGTTCTATTCTTCTATGGATTATCGGTTCAATTTCCGGACCGACAAATCTGATTATGTCTCTGTTTTAAAATTATAATTTTGTTTTTCGGGTATGTGAGGCATCTTTAATCTAGTTTGCTCTTGGGAAACAGGACTTGGACATGACTCAAGAGATGATCAGAGTCAAGGGAGGTTGTCTCTAAAGAAACAACTGAAACTAAAATGCCAAGAACAAAGTCTTGCTGATTCCTTGTATGATAAAGCTCTGGTCACGATCGATATGGGTCAAGGTGTGCGTTTACGCAGATATCGCACTAATAAAGTTTATATTGAAACGTAAAGATGGCATTTTTCTTGAGCGTGAAATCACTCGTTGCATCCGATTTGTTGTAGGAAGAGAGAATTTCCCTTTGAACCAGAGCCAGTTTACTCATGGAAAGATGACGTTTCAAGCGAGGGTCACTGAGAGTTTCCCACTTGGGTACACTATAGAAACTGTCATCGACGGAAAGATGCTCCGTGGCGTTTTATTCTCAAACAGACAGGGCTCCGTTCTGACGGCTGATTACAGCTTTAGTAGGCAAGAGTCTTTTTTTTCGTATCTTTTGTCGGGTTTTTGCTCTGGTTCATGATTCTAAACCACTTCTTGTTCTGTCGGTGTACCAGGAAGAGGGGTGCTGTGTGGAATGGTGATCAAGGTAGCGGGCCTAAGACTTCGAGAACCCTAAGCAAGGATTTGACGGCTAACCCGACAAAAGATGATGCAATCGATTCGAAAGATTCTCCATCAAATGGCATGGAAACGGGCACTGATCTCTCTGACCGTAACAAGAAGGTTTCACCCGAAAACCCTCTCGGTGTTAATATAAACACATCGGCACAACATGAAACAGAACGTCCTGCTACACCAGTAGTGGAGAATCAAGTGGAGCAAGATGCTTCTCAACTCAACATGGTAACCGATCGATCCCCAACAATCTCGTTTCTCTCAGGCAATTCTTAATGTCGTTTTTTTTTCTCAAAATTTACCGGATGTTCGGCTGCAGGGCCCTGAGAACACAGAACCGAGTTCAGTTCCTCCCAACTTAAACGACGAACAGACAAACGAAGCATCGGATCCCAGAAACGGGGTTTCCAGAGATGTTGGAGCTGCTGCTGCTGCCATGTCTGTACCTGCAGACCCATCTTCAAAAAACCAAGGTGGCAATGTCTCAACCCGAGCAAAACAAGTAGAAACGAAATCTAATCTCGAATACCGCAAGCTCTACAGTATCTAACTCTCGTTCTAGCAATTTGGTGACAGATGAGAGACTGGCGTCAATGGAAGGAGGAGGAAGCAGAGTAGCCGCCATTGATGAGGAACTACAACAAGAACAGCTTCAGCTTTAGAGGTAGCAACAGGAAGGGGAACTGCTCTGTGTTTTGTACATTGGAGGGACATAGGATGGGGTTAATGTAGAAAGCAAGTTTAAGATGTGGGTGAGAAGGAACATACGAACTCTTCAGTTCATTTCCAAACCAGTTTTCTTTCTGTCTCATCTTCTGTGTTTTTTTTTTTTTGGCTCAACTTGAAAGGAAAACGATGTCTCCTCCCACGCAATTTTGATTTTGTTTCCACTTTCTTTGACCGACAAAGAGCTTCGCAAAGTCACATATGGATATAGCCATATATAGTAAGATCATTACTTCATCATTATAATAGTTATGAGATCTCCTCTCATGGACCCTATCCAGAGCGAGGCCATCACTAAAATACATAAAAGGCTGAGCAGTGGAATGGATTTAGAAACCCTAAACCCTGGGGATGGCCTTGCAAACCAGAGGGTTCTTCATCTCCATCGAGAGCTTCAAGCTCTCAGCCAACTCCACGTCACCATGGGGGACCCATTTGAAGCTATGGAGCAGCTGAGCGAGCCAGAGCTCGACAGTGGCTAACCCCATGGACTTGCCAGGGCAAACCCTGCGGCCCGAGCCGAAAGGAGCCAGCCTCAGATCGGATCCCATGATGGGGAAATTATCGTTTTCTTGCCCACCAAGGAACCTCTCCGGTTTGAACTCATGAGCCTGGGCCCACACGCTTTCGTCGTGGGTGATGGACCACATGTTCACCATGGCGGTGGTGCCAGCTGGGACGAAGTGGGTTCCGACGGTGGTGTCGTGGATGGAGAGACGAGCCCATGAGAGGAGAGGGCCTGGCGGGTGCATCCTTAGGGTTTCCTTGACGATGGCTCGGAGGTACGGAAGCTTGGGGAGGTCAGAATCGGTGAGTCGCTGTCCACTGAGGCCCATTACGGCGTCAAGCTCGGCCTGAGCCTTGGCTTGGATGTCAGGGTGGAGGACCATCCTAGCCAGGATCCACTCGAGAAGGATCGCCACGGTGTCTGTACCTCTGAATATCATTTCCTGACATATATGTGTGTGTATATATATATACAGAAAAACAAATCAAGAACGTGCGTGTATACACTTTGTATGGATGGGAAGAACAAGGAAATAGGATGTACCCAGAGGACAGCGATCATATCAGAATCGGAGATCTTAGTGTCGTGTTGCATGTCAAGCAAAACATCAACGAAGTCACCCTTTCCATCTTCAGAAGAATGGTTCAATCTTTTTGATCTGTGTTCTTCGATGGTTTTTCCGACAAAAACATTCACCTTCGCCACCAAATTGCGGCATCTCCTCCTCACTCCTTGCAAATCCAACCATCCCAAGACCGGAAAATGATCGCTCCAGTTGAATATCCCCAACAGCTCATACCCTTCGGACACCAAGTGTTCGAGCTCCCTGCTCTCTCTGGAGTCTATGGTCTTGTCGGATTCTCCGCTGAAGTCATATGTTTTGCCGAAAACGGTCGTCATAACGTTATTGAGCGATCCGAAATGCAAGATCCTCTTGATCTGAACCTCGCCATGGCTCTCCATTGATTTCTTGATCTCTCCCACCATTGTTTGTCCAATCTTCTGGCGGAAACCACCGAAGCTGGCGATTCTTTTGGGACTAAACAAGTGAGTAGAAGAGATCCTTCTGAGCTCTCTCCAGTAACCGCCAAAGGGAGCAAACCCCATGGCTCGGTGGAAGAGAAGCTCGTAAGCAGACTCTTTGACGGGTCTGTCTGCGAAAGCGGAGCTGTTCAAGAGCTCTTTCGCGGTCTCGGGTTCGCTGGAGATGACGAAACGGGTCGACCCGACAGAGAAGGCCATGAGGGACTTGGCCTTGAAGGACTGAGCAAGACTCGCGAGGACTCGGTGAGTCAACGCGTTGTTGACGAAGGCGAACAACAGGCCGACGATGGGGAGGCCGGTGGGTCCCGGGATGGCGGGTCGGGTCTTGGATTCAGGTCGGGCCTTGTAGAGAGCCCAAGCGAAGCCTCCTGGTGTCAACCAGAAGGCGAAGAGGGAAATGAAGACGAAGAGGCCGAGGCAGAGCTCGAGGGTCATAAATGGCGTCGAGACCAGGGAAAGGTATGAATCCATTGCCATTTTCTTGAAGAAGGAAAACTAGGGTTTTCTTCTTTAGGGCTCACTGACTCTTAACAAGGAGAAGACGGATATTTTCTTGATGGGTTGATGAATGTGAAAGCCACAAGGACGTCGTTTATATAGGTATGAAGTTTAACTAGGGTTCGAATTTCTACTGGTCCATTTTAACCATGGTTAGATATCTATATGTGAATTTGTTCATGCTTATGAGTATTTTTCAACTGTACGGATTTGCCCTTTCTTTTTGCATGGGTTCCGTTGGCCCTCGCCATGCAAATTAGCTCCTTTTTTAATGGGGAGTTTTTTTTCTTCATACATATATATATTATACGGTTTTTCTTTTTCTAGCATGATCTATTTTGCTTAAAGTTCTACAGACAATAGAGTTTTGTATAAGAAGTTTAATTAGGCATTGATCGCAATATTTAGCCATTATTTAAAATGTTTTTTAGTACAATATTTTTTTTAATGAAATGTTGATTTTCTCACGTTACTTTTACGAATTATGACGCAGTCATATTTTTGTCAAAATGTGTTTGATGTACTTGCACGATTAAAATTATAATATACACATACAAGAGCCTCATATGATTATGACATTCTATTAGAGTGAGTTATTAATTTAATGTCAGATTTAGTTTTGATTTGCTTTGAATATATTTTGGTTTACTTTAGTTCGGTTTAAAAAATTCTCAATTATTTTATAAAATAAAGCGCTTGTTTTTTTATATATACAATCGATTGTTTTTTAAATAGAACGGAAAAATATCAAATCATTCGCTAACAAAACTAATCAATTAAACAGAGCAAAATCTAATCAAATAAAACCCCAATATATTAATTAAACCAAATTTTGAGACGAGTTTTGTCTTAACTACACATAATTTCATGGTTATTAAAATACAAAAAAAAAATAAATATGGACAACTGTAATGTTTGGTCTGAGAAACCGATGGTCAAAATAATATCTTTGACTTGGGGCAATAATATCTAACGACGGTTTTATGTTGAATAATCGACACTTGCTTGCTTCTCAAGCATCATATCTTAACCTGTTTTGACAACGTACGAGTTTAGAGGTTGCTTATATTTTCATAGATTAATTGTATCATAAACATTAGGGTTCCAATTAGCAAACCCTAACATCAAAACCATACCCATATATCGTATTGACTCGTGTTCCAACACCAATATTAAAAACGCGGATATATTTTGGTTCTATTCTGTGAAAAATATATAGAATTCATTCGGTAATTATGTTTTTGGTGGGTGAAATAATTGTTAAAATTCAATGATACAAAATACAACTTTAAATTCCGATTGGTTTATATTATACAGGGATATACACGTGTATAAATATATTTATATCTTATGGTTATAATTATTTGGGTTTTGGATTTAGATCGCAACTAAAAAAATTTATTTTGTGACAAAATTTTAAAACCGTTTTTTTTTTCACTTTTGAAGAAACTTTATATGTACAAACAGAAAATTATTACTAAATATTAGAAAGAGAAGTGTTGTGGATTACAACCATTGTAAAAAAAATGGAACTATATGATGAAATTATTCAAGAACCATAGTCTATATACCTATATTATTGCCATACAATTACCATTTTGCCAACTTATAACTTGAACGACATTTATTTTTGATAATTCGAAAGTTCACCGTGTATTTACTACAATTATATCTTCCAGAAAATACGAGAAGTTCGGGTGAAACAAGATTATTAAATTTGACACATTATTATATATGTAGCTATGTGTATATGGCAGCATATTTCAGAACTTTCTTTTTGGATTCGAGGCAACATATGTTGGTGGGTACAAGGAGACAATGCTGTCTCCTTCAGAGATCAAGCCTGTTTTCATCCTTCGCATGTTAAAAAGCAGCATACTTAGAAATTAATTACCAAGATAAAAAATATATATATATTATGATTCTCTCTAACTCTATTATACAACATAATTATATCATTTTTCCATTTTTTATACAACTTATCTAGATAAAATCATCATACATACAGAGGTTCATAAAAAAAATGGAATTATATATCTTAAATGAATATTAACTTTAATATGTTTAATAAAGACATTTCAAGAAGTTTTTTTAAACCTAATATGGAATCCTAACGTATATTTATATACATATGTGTCAATCTCGTAATACTTATCAAGTATTTTGTTTATTAATGAAAAAACATCCCTCGATCTATATTTATTTCATGATAATCTATCTCAGATATTTTGTTTGGTAATGTGTATATATATATAAAAATAGTTTTGCATTATTTCAATATTGCAACTAAATTCTGTGAATTGCGTTATTTTTTAGCTAGATTTCTCGCTTGAGACTGTATGGAATAAGCATTAGCAAATAGAGAGACATTATTTGTTTGCTCGCAAAAAATATATATAATTTTATGGAATAGTATGCGACAATATATTGTAAATTAAATTTTGTCAATGAATATATTAAATATTTTTAGGGAAGAGACCGAGGCTGTGGTCTGAATCTGGTGGACACGGGCCATATGATAAGGACGAGGAAACGGTAATGTTTTTGTTGGGTCCATATGAAGCAATTCCTTTATGTTAATTAACAGATTCCTTAACTAATTTATAATATGCTATTAATTAACTAATTAAACTGTCTTAGAGTTCCAAAGCTATGGTTAGGTTAGGAATCTCATAGACATTATTATTGGACTTTGGAGTTTTTAAATTTCTTATGGTTCATATATATATATAATTTTCGTGTGAAAAGTCTTGAGGTAAATTTTTTTCTTAACCTTTATTACTGGATATTTGGGTTCGATATAAAAATAAGAAAATTAAATCGAGTAATATTTATCCAAATTAATGGAATCCAAACTACAAACCAAATATAAAAATAATAAAAAATGAAAATAAAACCTTTTTTCTAAATGAATTTTTCTTTTCATGAAAATTGAATCCAAATAAATAGAAAATTATAAAAAAAAAACGATGCAAACATAGAATAGAATAATTTTTATATAACTAAAAAGAAAGCAAGATTCAAAAATAGTGAAAATAAAACAGAAATTTTAAACGTACATTTATGCTTATTAACTTTTTTATGAATTTCAATTAATACATTTTTATGGTCAAATTGAATTTCAACCGTCCAAGTATATTAAAATCAACCGTCCAAGGATCATGCTATTACTTACAAAATTTATTCGGTCTTTTTTTCAGTTTCCTCGGTTCTTCAACTTTTACCGGTAACCGACTTTCCGAATAAAACTATATCTAAATATATCACATTAGTTACTTCATACTTGCATGCATATATAATTATATATAAATGTGTGTGTGTGTGTGTGTGAAAAATCTCGAAAAATATTTGAATTTATAAAAAAAATATTAAATTTCATAAAATAATATGAAGTTGTCTTAAACTTCTTGATAAAATATAAATCTCTGATTGTTTGTAAATTTTTAAGAAGCATTAACAGGTAACTAATGGAAACCACTACAAACATTTACAAAATTACATATATATATATGCATAAAAAACAAAATTTAACAAAAATACATGTATATATATATACAAAATCACTTACATATATATATACATATATACACATACATAAATATTATATATTTACATATATACATACATATACATATGACATGACATATAAACGTATATATATGCATTTTTAAAATATATACATATAAAAATTCATACATAGGAAAATTTATTTCTGGCTTTTAGAAACATGAAATGAATAAATGAATATTATATAAAAAAAATTGACTGATAATTAGAAGAATTCACAAATAATTCCACAGATTGTAACCATCCTTTAAAATAGATAAATTATTATCCAAAAGAGAGAAGAATAGTAATAAGAAATTTGGCCGTTGATCTACTCGACCGTTAGGTACATTTGAGCCCTAATGTGTGCTTTCTTTTTACCAATCCTTTTGTTTTGTTTTTTTTTTCAGACAGTAACAGAGAGCAAACCTTCAGACAGAACCCTGAATCTCCTCGTTCATGAGATCCACAACATGTATGGATCCAAAAAGCTTCAAAATGTAAAAGAATCCACCGATCGCCCGGATTCGCATCGATAAATATGAATTGCCCGAAAACCTAATCGGGCAAAAATATTATAACTCTCTTGCTAAGCTGTGACACAATCCTGCAGATAAGAGTGACTTGAATTCAAGTACCTTTCCCAGAAAGGTTTGTACCTTCCAATGGCAAGCTTCAGCCATGGCTTCAAGTTACCGTTATAGTGAATGACAGCTGCGCTCTCGATGAGGCGGATATCGATGTTTAAGTCGTAGCCTAAACCCAAGACATGCCATCTTCTGTCGAGTGGCTCGGTCAGGCCGTAGAAGGACAAAAGCCCCGGAGGAAGCGTCCCGGCCTTCCACAGAGTCCGTTCAGTGTTTTGCTCCTGCCAGTAATGGTAACTCGCCGTCACTTTGGCTTTCCTCCAAGCAACGAGGTCGAAAACGTTCATTCCGAATGCCCATCCGCATGCTTGAGGGTCAAACTTCGAGCTGATGAGTGGGTTCGAAAAATTTAGGTACTTGTAATGCCGGTGAAAGGATTCCAGGCATGTTTCCACCGCTCCATTGACGTTCCCGTGCAAATCCAAGGAGAAGAGATGGGTCAGATCCTTCTGAACAACGACATCATCGTCGAGGAAAACGATCTTCTCTAGCTGCGGATAAATCTCGGGGATGTAAAACCTAAGGTGGTTCAGCAATGACAAGTGCTTAGGGTTCCTCAGCTTCAGCTCAGACTTGAAATCTCGACTTTCTTGTTGGCCGAAATAGTAAGCCCGGGAATCAGCGTTCATCAATTGCTTTACCACGGGAGAATACGAAGCATTCAACCAAGAAAACTCATCTATGCTCCTGATTTCTACAGCCGAGCCCCTGAAGTCGTTACCGAGAAACCAAGCCTGCATAGCTCCATAGCTCACCCGGCTCGTCACTATGTGGAAAACAAGCTGTTTCGGGTGGTCAGCATTCGAGACGGTAGAGTTAACAACGACGGAGGAAGCTATCACGTTATCCGAAAAGATGCAGAAATGGTAGAGATTGTTGTCAACAAGCCTATGAGAGTTTCTCTTCCCGTCGGCCAGTTCATGAAGAGACGGGTTTGACAGCCAGTCAGACGTGAGCTTGACCACCGAGCAATGGAGGCTCTTAGGTACGGATTCCGTGACCAGTTGCCCGAAAACCGTTGTCTGAACCATCGCTGCATTTGCATGCTCTTCAAGGGCTTGGATGTGAGATTTCAAGGTCATCATCGTGGTGGCGACATCATAGTGCGCGTCTTCTGCCTTGAATATCAACGCCGACAAGCCACTTATCATTGGCTCCGCCTCGCCAGATGTAACGGGCCGTCCTCTCATTGCGGCCCTAGAGAGGAAGAGCTGGCAGCTTCTGATCTTAGAACTCAATTCCCAAGCCAAGTGAAGATTATTGTGCTCTTTGGCGATGAAGACATAAGCCTTGGCAAGGGTCATTTGCTCTGCTAACTTCCTAGAGAACGACGAAGCACTGCTTGTTGCCTCTTCTCCGGAATCTGAGAGTTCGGTAGACGCATTCCCGATTCTCATCTCTCTCTCCTGTCAAAGCCAAGTGGATCAGATATGAGAATTCAAAAAGAAATAAAGGAAATCACAAAGAAAGAAACACACGTTATGAACATTGAATCTTTTAGATTCAGAGCAAAGGGCAAGAGCCTAACATCTGTCTTTCCACACCTTGGTGAACTGAAACTCTAACACATCTTCACTTAAACTATGACGCTGAATCTTTTAGATTCACAAAGAAAGAAACACACTTTCTCTGTTGTGTTTTTAACTTGAACATAAACAGTTTCACTGTTTCACCGTTGCAGAAGCTTAATCCATCATTTGGTTGAATAGAATTGTGGAACTCGTTTCAATAAATTCCTCGAGCAGAAGCATCGAAGAATATTAGTAAGGCTCCATGATCAGAGACCAAGAGGAATCCGATCTTCCGAAAGCCAAATTGATTCAACAGCAACATTGATTCAAATCCAAGACGTGCATCGTTGAAATTTCACTAAACCCATCCAAGAAACCTCCAAGATTCAGAAGTAAACGAAATCACAACACTTCATACCCTAAAGTATCACAGAATCACAGAGCAAGGAAATTCAATCCTTTTCCCGCACAAAAATCTACACTTTCACGACGGATAATCATATCTGAACCCGAATCTAAGGATCGAACCCTAGAGATTAAGGGAAACCAAGAGAGTCAACTCGAAAATCAGAAATTGAAAAAGATGGACTGGGGAGAGACGTACGATCACCGGTTGATTTGGATCTTGATGAGAGTGATGGTGATGATGATGAACCATGAAGAGAACCAATCCAGCCACAGAGAACGAACCCAGAAGAAGCCATATCCAACTCGACAACCTCCTCCTCGCCGGACGCCGCCGCATCTTCCTCCGTTTACTACTCCCTTCGCCGCCGCCGACACCGCCGACGCCGCCGCTTCCACAATTTCCTCACCAACCAATCCAGATTCTAAACCGATTCATAAGACCCGCCTCCGAATTCGGACAGAACCCACGAAGCCGAGTTTGTCCGGATTCAGACACACATGAACAACTTAACGGGAAAAGAATCTAGGGAGGAGAGAGAGAGTGTGTGTGAGATGTGATCTGGCTTTCGCAGGTGTGTTTGGGCTTTCCTTTCGTGTGTTTTCTTCTCCACTGTCACAGTGTATTCAAAACGAATTTCCATAAATAAATGCCATTTTCCAATTTTATTTTCCAATTTCTATATTTCCTTTTAAAAATTCCAGAAAGGAATATCAAAGTGCAATGTACAATTGCATGATCCCATTATAAAACACTAAATTTGACCTATATTAAATTAATATTTAAATATTTTCAGCCGTTTTAAGACTCCATTATCATTAAGTTTGAACCCATAATTGTTAATTCTTAATGCGATCAAGAGAAAAATGAGAAATAAATATTTGTCTACATCCAATCTATTTAAAATTATTTTTTTATTCATTCTCTTCAATAATGTTTACAAAATAGTTGGCTTTTGTCAAACCAAACCGGAAATTATAGTTTAGGTTTAATTTAAGTTTTTAATCTACATTTATATATTTTCCCATATGGTAGTGGCTTCGGAAGTTTCTGTCTGAATCGGAGTGTATCTAATGGTATTTCCGTAATATTTTCTGGAGGGAACTAAACCGATATAAACCGTGCGGGTGAAATCGAACCAGAACCAGAAACATAAATAGTTTAATTAAGTTCGGGTTTAATTCGACATGTCGAAACGTTCAAATCGAGATCTTATAATGATTATGAAAAAATCAATATGATTCGATATTATTTGGTTAATTTTTATCATGATTAATTTTTCTAGAAAATTTCTCTCCACTTTTATTAGATCAATATATGATCTTAAAAATGGAAAATTATAATGATTTAGAATATTTTTTTTATTTGGTTTGAGACCAAAACATTACACGATTTACGTTTGGATAGCTCCAACGCTTGAAGAACAAGATGAATTTCATTTTTGCATTTTTTAATCTCAATAACACCTTTTCTTCCACCATTTTCCTCTAAAATTTGTGTATTTTTGGTCAATTATTCATTTGGTTTTTACTTCAAATAATCACAAATTCTCAAAATATCATAGAAGATATACTAACACGTAAAAATCCTTTTTATAAATAAAACACTTGAAAATCCATTTTCTCTTTTATACATTATGTATTCAACGGAAGCCCATTTTGTACGATATTGGGTTGGGTGGGTGGGAAAATGGTATTGTGAGTTTTGGGCCTCAAACTTGGGGGTTCGTAGAATCTGTCCATATTTCATGGTTGGTCCACCGGTTTAGGTCGGCATCTCAATCGATTTTGTAATTGGTTTAGAAAATCGATACCGGTTATGAAATCCTGGAGGCCCACGGATGTGAATATGATCCGAAAATCATATTGGGTAATTCTAAATGTCATTACGGAGAATATTGAAAATTTATATATTATAATAATTTATATTTAGTTTACATTTATTTACTGCATTACAAAAAAAAATCAAGGAAAAAAGTTTTGCTACATTTGCATTAGCTAGATATATAATTATAATTTATACTTAAAATAACTCAAGATAAAATAATCCTGGAAACCCAAACTTGTATAGTCTAATAGTAAAAAAAAAAAATATAAAATATATTTTTTGGGTTCAAATTCAAACGTGGAGAGAAATCCAAGATTAGGAGGTTCATCCAGTAAAGAAGGGAGCAAAATTTCTTCCCAACGCGGGTTCGAGTTCTCACTTGGAGAAGGATATTCACATGGACTTCTTAGTTTGAGAGATGTAGTCGGATCAAAAGGTTGATTAATTTTCAGATTATAAAAAAAAAGTGTGGAGAGGAGAATTCACTTGAATTTCTTCGGTTTTTTCGAAGATATAGTTGGGTTAAAACCATGGTGAACTTTCGGATTCTGAAAAAAAAAATCGGACAAATCTAATGGTAAAAATATTTTGATGGAATTTAGTTTGTTTTGTAACATTATCAAATGAAAAATAAGTCTATGCATGCTACGCATATGAATTCATTACAATGACTTGGCTTCATCTTGGAATTTTTCCTTTGGTGCATCATGTAGGTCCTTTTTTTTATTTGCTTTCTCATGTGCTCATTTTTTTATGTTCTTAATCACGTCGGTCTTTTTTTTTTTTTTTGAAGTAAAATCACATGAAATTTTATAATTTAAAAAATCCATGACAAAGACGTAAAGAGAGGAGGAAATGAAATCCGTGCACTTGGTGAAGAACCCTTTTCATGCAATCATGCATTATTATTATTATTATTATTATTATTATTATTATTATTATTGTTACGATGGAAAACTCCTATTTTACAACCCTTCGGGTCGGACACTGGACACCGCAACGTCTCTCAACCCGTGGGCCGGACGAGAACGGTATCAGATAGCATCGCGGACCTGAGAAAACCCACCGCTCTACGTAGTAGCCGGTAAACTACGCAGAGTAGGTAAACCAACCTCGACCCATTTTAGTGGAAGGACGCACTATTTGTTTACATCCATTAGTTTGTAAGGGATTCAATGCAGCTGACCAACTCAATGGGAGTTTTTATACTTAGGTTTCGAACCCACAACCTCTTGGTAGAAGGAATTGTCATTAACCACTAGGTTGAGGATTCTCCCAATCATGCATTATTATTATTATGGATTTTCACAAACGCACACACGGCACACACATATATATATCACAATACTAAATCATGATTCATCAATTTGTTTACTTCCCTCACCCCTCACGGTGGGATCCAAGAAATGGCAGCAAAAGTGTATCTTGTCGGAAAAATTTTAAGTTTTAATAAGCAAAAGAATCATTTCATATATATATATATATATATATATATTTATTTTCCAAT